TTGCTGCGCTTAAATTCGATTTGCTTGAATAAAATCGTAGCAGAATAACATTTATATTAATAATATTAATATTATAATATTAATATAATTATAATACCATTTATGTGTTTGCATGCTTACAAAGATAATAATTGTACGGTGGCGTGCAAGATAGTGTATAAATTAATCAGTAGCCAGCAAGCTGACCATATGGCAGTCACGTAGTTAATGTTTATGTTTGCCGGGAGTTTGCAATAACAATATTTTAGGGCATTATCGTTACGGTAAGAGAGACGCAAAGGACTCAGACAGTTCCGTCGTAGGTAAGAAGATAAAATCGATGACTATGTTTCACCGAGGTCAGCTGTTATTTTTTGGAGGATTAACGGTAAAAATAGGACCTTCAAATAGTAAATATCGATGCGACGAAGCAAAATCGAATGTTTCATGGCAATAGTTTTCTTTTCTTTCCTGACACCGGAATAATTTCATTTTATATTTATTATAACAATAATTTAATTTAATAAAATATTTTTTAATCTATTTTAATCTATTTTTTAATTTATTTTACATTCGTGCGACTTTCTTTCTGATAAATATATAAATCTTATCCTGTACAGCTCAATTAACGCATAAATTTTAATAATTCTAAATTGTGACATGCGACGCTTTTTCCTCACAGTCGCAGCTACGTGTGTATTGATTGATAGAAACTTTAGTAGGCGTTTCTCTGCTTGCTATATGTATAGCAGATAAGTACTGAACTGCAGTATGCATTGCATAGCATTACTCAATTAACCCGTTAAGAGCCCAACACGAATCCTCCCTCATAATTCCCACGACATCAATCTTATCTAATCGATGAAACTGAAACTAGAAATTTGAATATTTCCCATGGTTTTCGAACTTTCTAGTTTTCTTAGTCAAAAGTGCGTTTTGGAATTTCTTATTGTAATGTATTTGAGCAAACAGAGAGAGAGAGAGAATGTTACTTGGTTTATTAGAATATACAAATGAGAGTTAAACTAATATTTTCATATAATAGTATTATAACTAATATATAATAAATAATTAACTAATATATATATATATATATATATATATATATATATATATATATATATATATATATATATATATATATATATATATATATATATATATATATATATATATATATATATATATATATATATATATATATATATATTTTATATATATTATAATATAATATTAATATATATATAAATTTTGTTTAGCTCTGTTTTATTCTATATAAGTATTTAACTAGATATTGGAATTCCGTTTTATTAAAATGGACTGCAAAATCTAGTTAAATATTAATATCGAATTGAAAAATGTCAATTAACGAATGTACAATAATTCCTTGTTCTGTCGTGAAATATAACCTTTCTCTTTCGTTTCGTCGCGCGTACATTTTCTAATCGAGAATCGTGGCATTCAATCAATACAAGCAATTATGTTACTTGTGTGCGACCTTGGTCGATAAATTGCCCACTGTTGACAACGACGGTAGGTCGATTATCGGGAAGCGAACGTGGTAATAAGCAACATGCTTACATTGATGTAGAATGTAGTGAAAGGTGGTGCAGGATGTCACGTATGAAATGTTCGAATTTTATCGGAAACCGAACAAACATAATTTTTGTTCAAACAAGATTTACGAATCTGAGCAGCCACCGTCGCAAACAACACATTCTGTTAATGCATTGCAAAACTTTCAATTCCGTCATAATAGAAATTACGTGTTCGAATTGTCCACATACTTCATTTATGAAATTTTTATCGCCGTTTTTTAGTATCACCGACCGTTGGTGCATAGAAAACAGCTGATACTAAAATAAATTCTACTCGAAAGTTTCTAAATAATGAAAATAATGAACAGAAAATTGTATTTTAAAAGTTAAGATTCCAGGTTTCAAAATGATATACAACACTCGATAAGCTATTCGGAAAATTTCGACGAGAGTTCGAAAACATTATTGTTTTATTTATTTTTATTTACTATATATTTTTTTATTTATTTTTATTTATTTTTATTTTGTCATACTACGCTAAAATTTCCAAAAATTTAAGTCCAAATTTGGTCCAACTTTGAACTAGTTATGTATTCCGTTGTAGAAGAATATCTTATCAGATTACGTTCAAATTTCGTTTGAAACATTGTTTAGTATCATCGACAGTTTCGAAGATATTTAACATGAACGCTCGCAGATATAACGGTACTTCTCCGTCAGAACACTACAGGGTGTCCCAAAAAAGTCTCGCAATTCGAAAGTGGCGGGTTCCTCGGGTCATTCGAAGCAACTTTTCCATGTACAAAAATTTTCTCCGAGGCGCCGTTAACGAGTTATCAACGAAAAACAGTGACCAATGAGAGGCGAGCTCGGCTGGCGCGAGGCGACCGAGCCAATGAGCGGAACCGGGCTTCGCGCGCTGGTTGGCTGGGTCGCTTTGCGTCAGCCGTACTCGATTCTTATTGGTCGCTGTTTTTTCGTTGATAACTCGTTAACGGTGCCTCGGAGAAAATTTTCGTAAAGGAAGAAGCTGCTTCAAATGATCCGAGGAACCCGCCATTTCCGGATTGCGAGACATTTTTCGGACACTCTGTATCCGCTGGCATTTAGCTCAACGGTATTTTCAAATCCGGCATTTCATACGTTAACAACCTAATAAATATCACACAGTCGAAGACAAGTGCGATTGTTCTGTCATGTTTATGTTTTGCTGTTCAATACGCACAGTCGTAAGAATGGATTCGTCGGCCCCGTTCGATCGGAATGACTCCCAACAGAAACATGCCGGGTTGTGTAACAATAGAACATTTCTTCCTAACGATGTCACCAAGCACTGTCACCTCACTGGTATCTCGCTTGCAATATGCGCATGTAGATCATCGGAAGCCGGCCGAGCAATCTTTCCATCCTGCGTGCAATCTATTTTCCATTGTAAACCGGATGTAACCATGTTACTTTCGAAGTTTCTCGTTTCCCTCGTTCAGCACCGTCGAATATTTCAATATTTTCTTCAGGATAATTACGAAGAAACACTTCGATCGATATAGCAAATTTACAAATACTCCTCGAAATTACTGCAACAGTATAACTTGCTGTACAACAAATTTCCATTTTTTCTTCGCGTATGTTACATAAGAATTTTGTGAATCATGTTGTGCCATCACCACATTACGTTTCTCTACGTTTTCTAATGCGATGATACACGTTCTCGCAACGTTTTGAACGTTTTCAACTTTTCAATTCTTAAGCATTTAATAAAATATTAAAAATAACGAAGTTACGAGTGTTTAATGTAACTATACAAATAATATATAATAACATATAATAATAATATACATATTAATATATTAATATATTATTATTATATATTATTATATATTATTTGTATAGTTACATTAAACGCTCGTAACTTCGTTATTTTTAATATTTTATTAAATTCTTAATTCTTCGTATTCTTCAAATATTTTTTATTAATATATTTATTTATTATAATATTAATATATATAATAATATATAATATATAATCACGAAATCTTAGTCTTCAAAAATGATGAAGAATGACGAATCCCAAAAGTTCCCTCGGATCGTATAGCAATTAATAAGATTCGTAAGTCACGCTAATTTCTCTCGCAGAGTTAGGCTTCGAGCCACAGCCACCACCACCTAACCTAGCATCTAACGCGGACCTTACCTTGATATAATGTTGCCGGTATTTTATATTCCTAAGCCGCGTTTTTCGCACGGTTAACCGCCTCAAACATGTGTTTAAGCTATATATTTGATAAGAACTAAAAAGTTCACCGGTCGTAATACACTCCTTGCTTGATGCGTCATTGTGCTCGAAAGGAAACATTGGTGGAGCGGCGGCTGCCGGGTTGCGCACACGGTGTCGCGTTATGCACACATACAGGGTGTCCCAAAAATGTCTCCTCAAAAATGGGGAGTTCCTGAGATCATTCGAAGCAACTTTCTCCTGAACGAAAATGCAAACCACGGCTTCGTTCACGAGTTATCAACGAAAATCAGTGACCAATGAGAGGTGAGCTCGGCTGACGCGAGATGGCCGAGCCAATGAGTGGAGCTGGGCTTCGCGCGCTCGTTGGCTCAACGCGTCAGCAGAGCACGCTTCTTATTGGTTGGCGTTTTTTATCAATAACTCGTGAACGAAGCCTCGGAGAAAATTTTCGCAAAGGAAAAAGTTACTTCGAATAACCTAAGGAATCCACCATTTCCGGATTGCGAGACATTCTTGGGACACCCCGTAGAATTCAATGTAGTGGCAACAATGTTTCCTTAATATCTCGAAAACCAAGGCCGAACAGTCCTAAATGCAAAAGGACGAAGTTGTTCAGAATATCGCCTCTTATCACACAGTTCAAGGCCATTGAAATCGGAGGCAGTGCAGGCTTGCGACAACTTGACCATCATTTGTAACCTGCTGTGAAATCGATACAACGATATAAAATCAATTCGACGACATGATAAATTCGTAAATTTGAATACACGACATTAATGAATTATTTTAAACTAATTAAACTTATTAATTATTATATTATATTATTATTAATTATTATTAAAATTATTTTAAACTAAATTGATTTTAGCGTTTCTCTCACAGAACTTGCAACCGGGGAAGAAATGGCGTCGGAGTCGCCACGGGTGCCGTGCGACGGCCAGAATCGCACAGAGGAGGATCTCCAGACGTTCGACTTCATCAGCAAGCTAAGATTGGATCGCTTAGAGCCGCATTACGTCGCTTTGACACGGGTCAGAGGTAGCAGCCTCTTGCAAACAGCTTACAGATTGGGAAAAGACACCGACGTCACTCTGCCAACGAAGTACGGATCCGACTTTTCGTCACGTTTTTCAATGCCTTTTGGTTGATGTTTTTTGTTTTTTCGCAAGCCGCTCGATTCCAAATCTCGATCCGTCGCTCTTCTAATTCTTTCTTTTCCGTCTCGGCCCACACCCAGGGACATACTTCCGAACGATTTGCCAGAGGAGTTCAGTGTAGTCTGCACGTTCCGAGCCAGGAAACTGCCAAAGTATACTTGGCATATTATCAGAATCATCGACATGGAAAACGAGCCCCAGTTTTTAATAGCGGCGAACACGAAAACTCTGACTCTGGACATTTCTATGAAAGATGCGGACGGGGGGCTGCAGAACGTGTCGTTTCCAGCGGAACGTGTAAGTCGAATTCTACGTTTCTAGCATTTTATGAAACTTTCTTTTTTGTCCGATGTTGTTGTATTAGGCGTAGCAAATAAGTTTCTCAGCCCTTCTGCTCGAAAATTCAGCTTCTATTTCTGGAAACGTACGAATGGCTTTAATCAATTAAAATAAACACCCGTTCTTTAACCTTGACATAACCTTGACATTACTTTGTTTGTCCAATATTATTGTATTATTCGAATGGCTTTAATCAATTAAAATAAACACCCGTTACTTTGGTCGACCTTCCTCCAGCTATCAGGCGATCAACGAATAGCATTGTTAAAAAAAAAAAGACAAACCGGATGCTTTCGAATCGGTAAAGTCGTCGATGCGTTCTTTTTTAATGCTTTCAACATCGATGAAACGCGTGTCCGCTAGGAAATGTTGCAGTGACCGAAACAGATGAAAATCTGTTGGCAAAAGGATCGGTGAATAAGCCGCGTGCTGCTGCAGAGTCATCTGAATTGTGACGCCCGTGGTCCAAACTCCTGTGAACGAGGTTATGTCCAATTCAGCAAGTTTACTCGATTGATTACTCGATATTTAAAAAAAAGAAAGAAAAGCACCATAGAAATCTTCTCAACGACTTCCTCAGTGTTTTCTTGCCGTTGAAAGCAAAAAGTATGCGATGACGACTGTGCTGCTTGGTATATGTCATACATTCTGTCGCTGTTGCCGCAGATGACACGCGTGAAGTGATGCACTTACGCGGCGTTACAGAATAGCTAAAGGACAACGCAATTCAACTATTATACAGTCTTCTCAGTATTCCTAGTCAAAGTAACATTTATCATAACATATAATACATTTTAAGAAATGTCGCAAATTAAATTTCCTTCAGAAGCCGTGTAAAAGAAATTGAAACGCGTTCAAATTATGGTCTCCGTTTCTCTATTAATTTTTCACCAAGGCACAAATTATTGCATATTTTTTTTGGTGAGAAATGAAATTTCATTTCATTCTTCGATAATTTGTATGCATAGAAAGCAACCAACGAAAGCATAATTTTCGTATTAAAGGCAACTCGTTAAAAAATGGAAATTAAATAAATTAAACGAAGGAAATATCTCTCGGGAAAGATTTCCAATGTTATACCCGCGCGCAAGTTTAATTAATTCCCGATTCGTTCGTCGGCTCGCGAGTCATTTTCAAAGCGGACGAGCTGCGCGTATCGGCAAAACACGGTTAAATGTCTGGAAGCAGGACGCATCTCTCTCCTAATCTCGAGAGCACTGTCAACGGAGACCCAGTTTAGAGCGAAGCGGCACTTAAAAGTGTCATCGACGATGCCGTGATGATTAAAACGGCTCGAGAGAAATCACGGTCTCCGGCGTTTCCGTAGTCCTGTTCGACATGTCGAGTCGACCCTTTGTCAAACATTAATCGTGAACCGCGTGGGCGTATATAAACTGCGTCGCGGCCAGGATACCGGGAAATCGTGTCACAGGCTGTTGCGCAAATGCCGTGTGAAATAGTTTACGGAGGCCGAGGACGATCTTTTATTACAACGATCCCGACAAAATACAGGGTGTCCCAAAAGTGTCTCGCAATCTGGAAATGACGGGTTCCTCGGATCATTTGAAGCAACTTCTTCCTTTACAAAAATTTTCTCCGAGGCACCGTTAACGAGTTATCAACGAAAGAACAGCGACCAATAAGAATCGAGTACGACTGACGCGAGGCGGCCCAGCCAACCAGCGCGCGAAGCCCAGTTCCGCTCATTGGCTCGGTCGTCTGGCGCTAGCCGAGCTCGCCTCTCATTGGTCACTGTTTTTCGTTGATAACTCGTTAACGGTGCCTCGGAGAAAATTTTTGCAAAGGAAAAAGTTGCTTCAAATGACCTGAGGAACGAGATTTCTGATTGCGAGACATTTTTGGGACACCCTGTAGAGACATAGGCGTACCATTAAGTGGGTTTACGTTGCGCGAGAAAGCTCTAGAATTTAATTTATTATTCAATAAATGCGTAGATGAACTGTTAATTTTGTACTCTTTATACAAAGAATTTAAATCTTTTTTTGTTCAAATCTATGAAATCTCCCTTCGTTAACGATACAAGTACCTTTACGAAGAAATAAAGTCTCTTTGAATTAAAAGTTCAAGCTTCCGTTTGAATAAATGAAATTCTATGCAAGAAAAATCGTTCATTCTATTATCCGAAAATTCCGAACAATTTTATCTGCGTATTATTTCGGACACGGCAGGATCCAACGTGCTTACAGGATCACGGCGACAATTTTTGAGGTTAACTTTTAGCATTCAACGTATCAAGAACATACGATAAGAAAAGGTCGAAAGAAATTTGTAAACTTTTTGTATGATCCGAACAGATATTCGACAAAAACTGGCACAAAGTCAGCATCGGTGTATTCAAGGACCGACTGGTGGTTCACATCGACTGCGAGAACGTTGGCGCGCTACCGTTGAAGCCACGAGGACCGATTAAACTCGATGGGAAAATCTCCGTATCGAAGATGTCCCACAGCACAGTCACCGTGCCGGTAAGTTCGATCGTGTACCTCGGAAATTGCGCCCGTTACATTATGCGCCAGGGCAAGCGATAATAATCTAGTAGTGTTGTTAACAAGGAACGCGGGGTGCTCATTAGTCACAATGTTCAATCGACGACGCAATTACCCGATGCTTTAGAGCATATGTACAGGGTGTCCCAAGAATGTCTCGCAATCCGAAAGCGGCGGGTTCCTCGGGTCATTCGAAGCAACTTGTTCCTTTACAAAAATTTTCTCCGAGGCACCGTTAACGAGTTATTAACGAAAAACAGTGACCAATGAGAGGTGAGCTCGGCTGGCGCGTGGCGACCGGGCCAATGAGCGGAACCGGTCTTCGTGCGCCGGTTGGCTGGGCCGCCTCGCGTCAGCCGTACTCGATTCTTATTGGTCGCTGTTTTTCGTTGATAACTCGTTAACGGTGCCTCGGAGAACATTTTTGTAAAGGAAGAAGCTGCTTCAAATGATCTGAGGAATATTTGTTCCTCTTATAAAAATACTTTTGTAAGTTTTATTCAAATCAGCGCTTTTCTTTGTTCTCATTGAAAATTACAGTGCGCAGATTTTTCAGGAAACATTACACGGTCTGTGTTTTACAATTGAAAACTTGTAATTGAAAGCTTGTAATTTAAAACTGATAATTAAAAACTTACAATTTAGAACTCGCAGTTTAAAACTTGCAATTTAAAGCTTGAAACTTTAAAATATAAATAGAGCTTATTGAAAAGTCCCGGAATTATTCTTCCGCTTAAAACTGCATTTCTGTTACGTAACTCTCTGTCGCAGTTACACAGAAAAACGTGAAAAAGAATTTTCTCGGTACAAGATGATGATTCTAATTTCTCGAAAGTCGGTGAAAATGGTCGTTCATGTGATCATGCCGCAAATAATAAATAGGCGCGCGCGCGCGCAATTGTCGTGGACGGCTGTGACACTTTGAAGGGGGATGCTCGAGGTTCACCGCGATACAAACGTATCCGTAGAATGCCGCAATTAAGATGCACTTAATTAATAAACACTCTGTGTAATGAACAAGGCTGGCAATAAGACGTAACTGGGACAAGCTAGATTTAGCGCGGCACTCGAATACTAGAATCGTAACGATCGTAACCTAGCGATGGTATTATTAGACCGTTTCCTCCAGTCGCATATATAATATGCATAATTAAAATAAATAATAAATAATATGCATAATTATTATTAAAATTAAATTAAATTATTATTAAATTATTATATTATATTATTAAAATAAATATGCATAATTTCATGAAAATTATCCTATCACATCCGTTCGTGTAAGAATTAATGAAACTATTTCCAACGTGCTGCATTTCGAATATTGGCAGTTTGCGGTTTCGCTCGATTTTGGGTCTGAACAATGTGTTTAAAAAACACATGCAAAGATCTCCAGATTTCATACGGTTGAATGTCATCGTTCGTCGAGCTGAAAACAAAAATGCATTTTCAAACAATGGCAATATTAGAAGAACTTAAGAACGTTGATACATAACCTTCAACATCACGAGCAGGTTTTGTTTCTTGCAATGAAGCTTCGTTGTTCTTGAAATGAATTTCTGATTTGCCTGAAAATCACAGAAACTGTTTTTAAAGCAACTTACAAAGTATTTTGAAGAGAATCTATTGATATTTTTCACACATAATGTACACAGTAGTCGAAAATTATTAGAATATTTACATCTTTCTCGTAGAAGAAGAAATAAATACTTCACTGGAAAGCCTTAAATGAAACTGTCTCGACAATTCATAGTAACGTATACAATTAAATATATATAATATATTAATAATTATATATTATAATATATATATATATATATTATATTATACAATTAAAACACAATCGCGCGAGATATTAGAAAAGTACTATTGTACGTATTTAGCCTACAATAGGGAGCAGATATAATTGAAGAACGATCGAACAGGTTATAAGAGAGTGAATCGATGACGCAGTCGATGGAGGGAAGCGCGTGCTCGATCCGGCAGATGTCACGGAAGTCGCTCACGGTACCTCCGTGCTTCTCGAACAAATCGAATCTCCTGTAAATAATTACAAACAGACGATACAAAATGTTTTAGACGAAGAAAGAAATTATACTTGAATGATTTTATTCCGTGTATTGGACGAAAATTATAGATAAACACGTTGCATCAGATTGAAAGGAAAAAATAAAGTTTTTAGCATGAAATGTACCACTTTGAACGCTGATTATAACGTTCCCCGAAAATGGTCACGCAGATCGATATCCAGTGGATGGTCTTAAATTGCGACCCGGCGAGATCGGCGCGAGAAACCTGCGAGGAGCTGCCGGTACGTCTGTCTATACGTATAGTTTACACAACTTGGCAATCCATTAAGACCCGCCGGTTGTAATTAACGTAATTGCAGAAGAGCCTTAGCAGTCCTTTATTACCTCAGAGGCGGCCGACCTGCGAAATTATCTGTCCACAGGGGCCGGCAGGAATTAATGGCACAAATGTGAGTCACGTGTTCGTTTATCGGCGAACGTTTTCGTCGACTTAGGCACTGGATTTTGTACGAACTTCGGAATTAATATACTGTATGAGCACTGCCATGAATGAGACACTTTTATTTGAGGACGAGATAGCAAAACGAACTCTGAACGACCTACCTAATTTTAGTTTGAAGCATTAATTCTATATTATTATATATATATATATATATATTATTATTATTATTTATCTATATTATTATTTAATTATCTAATTTTACTATAAGAATGATGCAATAGGCCTTTAATGATCTTTAAGCAATATAATTTCTATCAATATAGTTATTATATCAATATCAGACAAATTTGGACATTTTCTGTGAAATGATATAGGTTTACTGATCCAGTTAAAATAATGTACATATGTAATATATATATAATATGTATATTATTTTAATAATATACATATAATATAATTAATAATATAATATTATTTTATCTGTATTAGTGAACCTACATTATTAAACTATATGTAACATATACATAATATAGTTAAAAAAAGCAAGTATAATTTTACTACAAAAAGATCTACAATTTTAAGCACAATGGACATTTAACGAGAATTAATGGATATTTAACGCAATATTATGTGTCCCATTCATGGCAGTTCTTCCCTATTTCTTTCAAGTTTCATAATATTTCAACACAGGCGTTTATCGCCGCTATCCTGCCTTGCGTAAAATCCTTTGTTCTAGGGCCCAGCCGGTTTGCCTGGACTACCTGGACCGCCCGGGCCAACCGGATCAACCGGACCCATGGGTGCACCCGGTCCAATCGGCCGACCAGGACAAGTCGGACCCCCGGGGGAGAAAGGCAAAATCGTGAGTATTCACAGGGGATTCTGGAACACATTGCAGCGTATTATTACTATTATTATTATTATTGTATTTACGTCTTTCTACATTGCCTATAAAATTGCAGGGCCCGCCAGGATTAACCGGAGCCCGGGGTTTCCCCGGATTGCTCGGTCCCAAAGGACCCATCGGGCTAATCGGACCCCTCGGCTTGAAAGGAGAACCCGGCGAACGAGTCTGTTCATTAATTTAATATATATTTTATTATTATTATTATTATTATTATTATTATTATTATTATATATTATATATATATATATATATAT